ATTATTTTCTTTTTCAATATTCAATTTACCATTGATAATAACACATCAACATTTCTATTCATATGCCAATCAAGTCTATCATCTCAATTGATTATTACTTTCTCTTATTCTATTCATTGAACTTTTCTTTTCTTTCTTTCTTTCTTTCTTTCTTTCTTATTCTATTATACATTCTAAATCATTTACTAAAGGTATATTCAATAATAATCCAATCTATATTTATATGATTGTTACATTTTTCTTAATAAAAATATCAACAAGTAAGACGAAACGCATTCTTTTGATATAGTTTATGATGATATTGATATATTTGGTACAAATAATAGTCATACCAATGAATTTATATATATCTCAAGGAAAACATTAATATCTTTGATATAATAGTTAGTATTAGATGCTCTACCAAAGCTATGTATCCGAACTTGATCATAGGTTTGTTTAGCTAAGGTATCGAATATATTGTAACCATTAAATGATATCATAAAATAAACGCAGTAATATATTTGTTTGTTTTAGAAGAAATATCCTTAATGATGATAAACGAAAATTTAAGTTTATGTAGAAACATAGAAAAGAAAAAATATCTAAAAATTTCAATTGAACAGTTTAAGACCTTCGCTCTCAAAAATCGATCTCAGTCTAGGAATATTCAAATGGCATAAAATTTTCAGGATATGTTGAGGGTGTAGTAGAGAAGCTATGATAAGATTTTCAGCCCGATATCATGATGTTTGAGGGAGAGATTTACCACATAATGGTCAAAGATAGATCATTTGGCAAACCAAATTTCTCGTTCATCCTATATATTTAGTTCTTTTTTTTTGTTTGAAAGAGTATGTCAAGATGCAATGCAGTATAGAGCCTTTTTTTTTAAATTCTTACTTTTTAAGGGAAGAAAAGTGATCGAAAGTTTAATGGCTTCAAAAACTCTCGAAAAAAGGCTCTGTACTGTTTTTTATGTTGACGTGTTCTTTCAAACAAAAACAAAATGAAATATATCGAATAAGTATCGACAGAGAAATTTGGATTACTCAATCAAGAAACTATAAATGAAGAAGATTTTCTATTTTTTTTTTTTCTGAAAGCAGCTTATTCTTCGAATAGAGAATGATAGAAATTCTCAAAAATGTTTAGGGGGAAAAAAATCGGATGCTGAATAAAAATTTTTGTCGTTTATGAAAGATGAGATCACGAACCATCTTCCTATGTATTTATCTTAATTTTGATCATTCTGACGAAAAGTAACTTTTTTAGTCAATGAGTTTTACGCTTTTAGATCGTGCATATTTCAGATTTGGCTTGTATAAGTAACTTTATATCGATGTATCATTATTACTGAAACTGTTTATAGTAATGATGCAGTGCAATCCTTATTGTAAATTGCTGAGTTACTTCTATCAGAAAAAAAGCACGCTGTTATGTTATCTGAAAGAACAACACATTTTCAAGGATTATATGTATATAGATATGTTTTCAATCAATTAATCTAAACGCTGTGTTGAAGTATAGAAGTAGAAATTGAGACCCCCGTCCATAGATCATGACAAACATATTATCAATGCTTCTGTTATGCCTTCGACCTTGATGGGTTCTTTAGTATTACTTGTCTCTTTACATGAAATGCGAGAGGCATTCTCATGAGATTGAAATCTACGACAGGATTAATATGAAACACAGGCCAATTTAAGATATCTGTCTTTCGCCCTTGTTTGACATTGACCACAATAGATTACAATTATCATCTGTCATCATTGACATACATTCATAGTAGATACGATTTACAAATCGAAACCTATGTTAACGAATTCTTTCTTTTACAATGTCATCAACTACATCATTATTTTTTTCATTATATTCTCATAGGAATTACACTAACAACTTTTTGTTTTTATTATTATAAAAAAAAAATATATATATATTTATTTATATCTCTATTTATAAAATTTATTCATAAAGCAAAATTTTGATCAAAAATCGACTTGATAAATTATGACAGGATTCTTTCATAAGATCATTATTATTAAATAATATACATGACACATTTATTGATTAAGAGATCTATACTACATTTGAATCTATTTTTAGAATGAATTTATATTATTCAAAAATAAAAATAGAATCTAATAGTATGTCTAATTATCGATTGATAAATAATTAAAAATGAAAGAAAAACCTACATGAATATATAAGTCTATATTTAATCTATGATATATTATCGAAAATTAACAAAAGAAAATTTTTCAGAAAGAATCTCATATGATATTCGTCTTGATAAATCTGGAGTATTAATTTTTACAATGATATGTTCATGGAAACAAAACAAAAAAAAAATTTCCGCATTTTTTTCTACATTTGATCAAAGATATTCTGTTGATTCAAATAATATTTTTGCATATAGATTTGTCATCTTTTTTTTTTTTTTAGCAATAAAATGCAAAGAAGAATATCACTCTTATTTAGTGGACAGAAGAAGGTTACTCTTTCGGACATAAATCATATTGTAAAACTGATGACGATAAGATCTCAATCTTCTTCTTCTTCTTCTTCTTTCTCTTATTGAATCGATTGTTAATCTAATTGATTAAGATTTAATTTACAAAATATTTCTTTTTTTTGTCCTATGAGATCGACCATTTATCGAAGAAGAAGAAGAAAAAAATTCTTTAGAATAGAATAGAATCTATCTTCTCCTAAGAGAATAAAAAAAAGAAAGAAATCTTTCACCAACTTATATTCTCTCTCTCTCTCGATGTTCTACAAATAATATTCTCATCATCATTTACTCATAAGAAGAACTTTCTCTTCTTTCTTTCTTTTATAAATCAAATAAAAGTGTAAATAGAAAATCTTCTATGATGAAAATAAACAACACTTTATAAAACCTTGAATATGTAAGTAAATATATTGTATCATTTATCGGTCAATAGTGATCAAATATATATCTTCTCTTATTCTGTTTATACTTTTTTTTTTTTTTCGATAAACGACCTTTTAATCTAGACTGACATTAGATAACATATCCAACCATAAGAAATAATCATCATTCTGTCACGCAGATTCTAATCATCAGCATATGTTCTTTTTTCTCTTCGATACATTTTCACATCATCACTAACTAAACAAATAAGCCTTTTTTTCATTCTCATCACCAATTATTTTCAATTGTTTGCTCAACTAATCAGAAACACTTAACAGATATAGTCTTTCAGAAAAGTTATATAAATATCAATATCTATTTATTCTATTTGTTACATATTATCAATATTAATATTGTATAGTTAAATTTGATATTTTAATAAAAATTCTAATAAATTTGATTTATTGATTTATGTAAACAAGAGAAAAAAAAATGATATTTAATATACATGATGAAGACACATAAATACGATTGACATTCAGCAAGTTGAAAATAAAACGACAAGTAAATTCAATTGACAGAAACGATTATATAATGATGCACTTTGTTCTCTAATCGTTCGATCTTGTTTGCTTATAAGAGGATTAACAGCTAACATGAACAAGAAAAAAGAAGGAGCCATTTTCGTTGCATTTCTTTTTCTCTCTTTTTTTTTCTTTTGCATCTCTCACCTCACATATGCACAATGTGATTGAACAAGGACGGTGAAATGCAGCTTTTATATACCGTTAAAACGTGCAATTATTTCATGAGTGCCCAAATAATGACACTGTCCTTCGTTTTCTTTCTTTTTTAAACATGCAAACATTTCTATTACGTCATTTCTTCCTTTTTTTTTTTTTTTTTTGTTCTTATTTTATAATGTAAGATTGTTTTAATGGAAGAACTAAGTAACCTTTCATCACGACGTAATTCAACATCGATTGATGGAAAACAAATCATTTGGACATTGACTACTCGTTTGAATGCACATATGAAAAGTGAACCATTGAAAAGACGAGAACAGTTAAAACAACCGCCACGTTTAAAACAAAAACAACAAATAAGTAAGTTTAATCAATTAAGAAGCAAAAAAAACATGTCGACAGTATATATCAAAGTATTTAAGAACAATCATCTTATGTAAATATCAACTATGTCATTCTAAGTGAGAAAATTGTAATGAGTTAGACTAATAGAATATTGTTAAATTTTAAAGATGTATCACATAGAACATTATAAAAAATTTGTTGTTATTGTTTTTTTTTTTCAAGAAAAATAAATTATTTTAGATGGATGTTTACCTAATGAATCAAATAATTTATTCAATATTGATATAAATAAAACTAAAAATGATTTATTATGTTTAATACCATCAATGGAATATAATTCAATTGAAAGACGAGAAAAAAAACAAATTGGAATAGTAAAACCTTTATTAACAATTGAACAAGAAAATAATCAATGGAATTGTTCAGAATTAGAAAAACTTCAAAGACGTTTTTCAGAATTAATTGATGGAAAATTTCATGAAGATAAAACATTACCAATAAATGAAAATTTACTTATTCAACGTATCGAATCACTTTATTCATCTATGGGTTCATTAATACATGTATCACCTTGTTTAATACGTTTATTTATTTTAACTGATATTCAAGTATGTTCATTAGAACAATGGAAATTAATTCATCATGGTTATCCAATATGGTTATATAATACTGGTTTAAATCCTCGACGTTCATGTGAATTACGTTTATTGATTGTTGATGAAAAAACAGGTTTTATTCTATGGTCTGATCGTATAACATCAATATCAAATATAATTCAACCAACAAATTTAACACTTTCATTTCGTCATTCATTAAATAATTCATCAATTATGTTACGTTTTGAAATAAATGATGAAAAACTTTTTACAAGATTTTATTCATATTTAAAACAAAATCAATTTTATACAGAAAACTTATTAAATCAAAAATTTTTAAAACGTTTTATTAAAAAAAGTGATATATCACCACCATGTCATTTTAAACATTTTAATCATATTGAAGAAAATCTTATAGATGTTCATCATTTATATTAGTAGATGGATAAGAATAATTCATATTATTTTCTCCACGTTTTGAATGTACTAATTTCCAATATAATATTATTGCAATTATGGATATTAATATAATTACACTAATTATTGGAATAACGATTAATAATACTAAATTAGATGATGATGATGACGACGATGATGAACATCTTGATTGTAATTCCGAACGAGTATATATACCTGAAATTAGTTTTTTTTTTTTGTAAAAAAAAAAAAGTTTTTTTTCAAAGCCTGATTATTTATTTTAGAATATAGAAAGTTTTCCTTTAATTTTCTTATTTGATTATTATTCAAAAGATAGATCTCACTTGGAATATATATATATATATATATATATATAGAAGTTTTTAATAATCTTTTTAGTAAACAAAAAAGAAACATAAATTCAATATTTAACAAAGAAAAAAAGAGTTTTAACATTTAAATATTTATAGATTATGTTCATAATGACAAGTCATTTTTAATTCATTACAAGAATTAATTTGTTTATAGAAATCTACTATAACATGACGAATTCTATTTCTCATGATCGAAGAAATAATAAAGAAAGTTTAAGATTTTAATAGTAATAAAGTTCTACATAAGAATATTACTAATTGATAGAGTTCAAAATTCTATATCTATGGAAAAGTACGATAATCTATTTAATTGAATTAATTAAAAATGAACAATACGATTATCGTTTGAAAAGATTAAGTACTAGTTGAAGATGGTAATCTATCTCTTCGGAAATTATCTCTAACATTTTGCTAAATAAAAACAGTCAACTACCGAGTCGATATTACTTCATAATAATCTTGAAAATCAAATACGATTATCTATTAATGTGAACTAATATCAAACTGTACGATTAATTAACTTCGTTTGAATTGTAAACATAAATATAACATATTCAATTCTATTGATTAATAATCCTACTAAATACTATATTATGAAACACGAGCTAAAAGAAATGTTGAGAAGTATAGAGTAGAAATTTACACTCGACTCTCTCCCCTACAGATAATCAGAGACAAGTTAGAAGTGGCTCATCAGAGACATGGCAGACACCTTAGGAACAACTCCGTCTTCCGCGTCACTGGTTCATGTACAATCGAAGACTGTATATGAATAACGTCTCATTATAATATATGAATTACTTTCTTATTACATTTCTGGAGTATTAAGTAAGAGGATAGTAAAGAAATGTATCGCATAATCGATAGAATAAAACGATTTTTCTGTAATTAACAACAACAGCTACATCATGTTTTACATTTTAATGCCATAGGGATTTCGCTAACAGCTTTTTTTTGTGATAGTAATCATGAGTGAGATATAATATGAAAGATCAATGACTGAAAAAGACGACGTATGAAATAGAAATGTACGATTTTAAAAAAACTCTTTGATTTTACTGAGTTCACACCCATTGGTATTGTATAAGTATATGTTCATGAAATTTTAAAATATGAATTTTTAAATACAAATTAAAATAAATTTCTAATTACCATTATAACATTCTGTTCCAGTACAATTACAAACACCTGTAAATCTATTACAATTTGAACATGGACATTGATAAGAACAATCAGGTCCATATTGATTAATTGGACAACCTTTCCAAAAACAAAAAAAAAAAATATTCAAATAATAATCAATAAATAGAACAAAAAAAAAGAAACATCAATCTGTTATCTTTACTTATATTACAACTAGTTCCATACCAACCAGTATAACATGAACATCCATATGGATCAGGTAAACAAATTAATAAACCTTTACAATAATCATCATCACCTTGACAATAATAATCACAAGTTTGTCCGTAATAACCTGGTGGACAACCTTTGTAAAGAAAAAAAAAAAATAATTATTATTATTATTATTGATTTAAAATAAATATTATTATTTATTTACTATATTGACATTGATTTGCATAAAAACCTGGTGCACAAATACATTGATTTATATATGGATGATATATACCTTGATAACTACATCGACTATCGTCTAACAAATAAAATAATAACAAAAGAAAAATTATTCATCTTTTTTGTTTCTAATGAAAATAAAATTTACAAAGTTGATAATCAATAAATCTTGTATGATGTCCTGATATTCGTTTATTTTCTAAAGAAATTGATATAAGACCATTAAAATCTTTTTTAAAACTAATTCCATTTATTGTTTTATTATTTGTATTTGATGAATCACATAATAATTTAATTGTATCATTTAATGTTGATAATCTATCAAAATTTATATATTCATAACAATCATAACGAAGATCTTTATCTGTTTGTTCAAAATTTAATATTAATGATTCATTAAATTTTCTTCGAAGTCCAACACTATAATCCATTGGTAGATTAGGTCGAATAAAATCACCATAATCAGGAAATGATTGTGTATAAACAATTCCAACTAAACTATTTTTTGGTATACAACTATAAAAACCAAATCTTGCATCATCACTTTGATTTGGAAGAGTTATATTTAAACATTTTGATATACAAGATTTATAATTACATAATGAAGATTGTTTTATTAATGTTCGAATATCATCTTTACGACAAAATCGAAGTCTATTTAAATTTGAATATGGATTTATATCATATAAAGCATAATAAGATTCATCATAAGCTTTTGATAAATGATATCCTGTTCGATCTGTACCTCGAGATCCAGTAAACCATATATAATCTAATGAACTATTGTACTAAAAAAAAATAATTGAGATTTCCTGTTTTTTTTTTTTTACATAGATTGAATAAGAAATAAAAACATACAGAAATATTTCTTGGCATCCAATATGCATCTTGAACTTGTTTTGTTTGAGATATTAAACTTGTATAAACATAATCAACATTAAAATTTGAATCTTTTAACATTATTTCTATATATATGTGTAGAAAATTCAAGATTAATTTATTTTCGATATTAAAAATTAAAATGAAAATCAAATATTATAGAATATTTGTTATAATATTTAATTTTAAAATATAAAAATTTTCTTTTATTAAAATAAAACTATACTCAAATGAATCAGAAGATATATAGAACATATATTCAATATTTGCAAGTTTTTTTTTGTTTTTCAAAACAATATGAATAAATATTTTTTTTCTTTAACAATGATTACAAAATTATAATTTCATTTTTAGATTCGAACGAAAATATACAAAATGAATAATTGTGATTGAGTTCAAGTCTAAACATGATAACAACCGAACTGCAAATAAGAAAATATGACTTTCTTTTTCATTCGAATAAGAGAAAGCAGCAAGTCTCAAAACGGGCCGCACGGCTCGACGATATTATCCTTTTTTTGACATAACTATTTTTGAGATTTGGTTTATCATTGAGGAGAATAGGGAGAAACTTCTCCACGCCATCCCTTCTCCCTTAGTTATCAATTTTTATAAAAGCCGAAAAATATGGAATAACTGTCTATTGAGAAAAAAAATCTTTGTAAACGAAGTTTCATTCGGGTCCGGGCGGACCACTTTGGGTTGAGTCGAGTCATAAAAAAAGTGACCCGATTTCGAGATCTAAAAAGTAGTGAAAAAGTTTTCTGAATTGACTCAAGAAAAAATGTGAATCGGCAATTTTCAACCAGAGATTACAATCAAATATGGAATCAGTCTGGATTTTTTATGATCGGTACTGATTCCATCTCTGATTTTGATTGATTGAAGTTGATTTCATTGTTCACTATTGTGCTGATACAAAGGAATGTACTCCTCTCGGAGATTACGCTTTTTGTAATATTTTGTTCATACATAGACATTAATATAATTAGCATCAATTCAAGAGTGTTTGAGTTTTTAATTGTTTCTATTCGAGTTATGATCGTTTTATTAATTTTTTGACTTTATTCTAACGAGAGAACCTCGTCAAATGATAAGTCGTTTGTAAGATGAGTCTTATCTCATTACGTAAGTCTTATTGAAACGCTCTAAAAAAGAATTCGTGCTTATACATCTTTCTTCTTTAGTTATAGTCGTCTAACAAGGGAAAGTCCCCAATTGATCCAAGCCGTTTTCAATGATATTTTGTCCATATATTGTGGGGCAATATGCTAAGAAAAGTCCTAAGAGAGTTTGGGCCGGTGGTGCTTCTTTCGAAGGTTATGACCGTTTTATTGATTTTTCCACCTAGCATAAGATATATAGGGAAAAATTGAACAATGGAATTTCAATCTAAAATTTTGCTCATATGTAGTTCTTGCAATCATTAGAACACTCTAAAAATTTTAGCGAAAAAAAAAATGTTTTCCTCTGGAGATATTGATTCTTGACTATAAAGTCCTGAAAGATTAACTTTTTTAAAATTGAATATCTCCAAAAGGAAATTTTTTTTTACCACTGAAACTTTTGGAGTGTTCTAATGACTACAAAAGCTACATATGAGCAAAATTTCAGATTAAAATTCCATTGTTCAATTTTTCCCTATATATCTTGTGGTTAGGTGGAAAATCAGTAAAATGGTCATAACCTTCGATGGAAGTACCATCAGTCCAAACCTTCTTAGGATTCGTCTTAGAATACTATCCCTGATATATAGACAAAATATCATGAAAAACAGTGTGGATTAGTTAGGAATCTTCTCTCTCGTACGTGAATTTTTTAACATAATGTTGTGATGACTATTAGATTACCTGCAAAATTCAATTTTGAATTTTGAGGTCAAAAGTTGTATAAATCAAGTCCTACATGGGACTAGTTCATTGTGAAAGTATCAGAGCTTTTAGTATTTCTTATGGTCAGATATTAAATATTGAAAATTTTATTATGTAAAGAAGAAAAATTTGTTCTTATATTTATATTTCGAGATCGGAGGTTCTAGAAAAGTTAATACTTTTATAATGAATTAGTTCTATTGAAAACTTTATTTGTGCAATGTTTGAACTTAAAATTCAAAAATCTTCTCTAAAAATGATCTAATGGATCTCACGGCATATTGTTGAAAAATTCACTAAAACAATCATAACTCAGCAATAAACATCTATGGACACGAATCATTTTAGGCTTTATTTAGTCCCGTTAGGACCCATTTAATAAAATGTGATTCACATAAAAACAAAAGATCTATCTATTGAGAAGATTTCCTGTATAAATCTTACCAGTATAGTAAAGTGATGCATGTTGAGATGTGGGTGTAGCGGGTCTCCGCTTCACTTACACCCAACATAAAATCATAAACTTAGTTAAATGATTATAATTCAACAAGAGACAATTATCAATAGTTCATCTGTAAATGTCCTATAATGGCAGTACATTAACAATCTCAACTCAATCATTATGAAATTACTCTATGAACTTAAACAAATTCTAATATGTTAGAAATACCTTGAATTAATTGCCATTCATAAGCATTATTTGCATAAATTGGATATCCACCTAATTCCGAACAAAAATCAATAACACCAATTAAATTTTTTGCTTCATTATCTGTTTCAATACGATAAATAAAATCATTTTCATCATTTATAACAGATGCTAATCAAAATAAAAAAAAAAAAAAACTAAAATCTAATAAATTCTTTAATTAAACTTACGTAAAAGACGACAAAGTGGATATCCACGAATACTTATATCATCACATTTATGATCATATATTCTTATTGATTGAATATTAGAACCATTTGATTGAATTATTGTACAATAATCTTCTTCATTTATTATTGAAGTAGAATTTGTTTCCAATGATTTATTATATGAAATAACCTATTGAAATTTGTATAAGAGAAAAAAACAAAACATTTCAGAGTCGAGAAAGGAACGTAGTGTATAGAAGAAAGCATCTGAGAATTTTGACCTTAATACAACTTTTGCTCTATATGTTGAGAATTATTTCTCTCGAAGATTTCAAAACTTTTCATCAAATCATTTTTTTAAAAAAAAACTCGCAGAAGAAATTAAGAATGTTCTTAAGAAAATCTTACATTTGATTCCCATTGTTTAATTCGATTAATTTGTTTTAAACCAATAAAAAAAGTTAATGTATTATTATTAGCTGAACTTCTTTGAAAATGAAATAAATCATGAATTGTTGTTGCAAGAATTCCTATTTAAAACAAATAAACAAATAAATAGATGATAAAACAATTTTACTTTGAAGTATTTCTTGTTCAGTTGAATTTGCCCAATACATTAATGTTCCATTATTATTTAAACAAAAAGTTAATGATTGATTTCGAGTTAAATTTCGAGGAAATGTAAAATATTTTAAACGATTTTCTGTCCAATGTTTCCCTTAACAAAAAAAAAAAAAATCTTTATAATTATCTATTTATTTATTAATTGAATATATTTATACATCCTTGATCAATATTAATCGATTGAATTGGATAAAGATCTAATTTACTTCTACATGTTATACTTGATGATTGATTTTGAGAATAAAGATATTTTCGATGTTCAATAGCTATATCAGGTATTGATGTTTCTAAATAAGAAAAAAAATATTTTTTTAATTTTATATATTAAATTTCATTTCTTTTTTGTTTTTTCAAACCATTTATTCGATTATTAAGAAATTGATAAACTAAATATGAATTACCAACTAATTTAATTGAAAGAATTCCATTTCTAAGCGTACTTATAAATGTTGATGATCGAAATGAACTATTTCTTATTAATATTGTAGAATTTGTTTCATTCCATGGAGCAATACGACCATCATGTAAAGCTGCTTTACATATCAACGAATTCTTGAAAAATTTAACAAAAACAAAATACTTTTTTTTTAAAAAATTTTTAAATCTAAACTTACTCCTGAATATGTTTCATTACCAAATAATGGATATTCTTGTTGATTAGATAGATATCGCATTGTATAACATGATGATGGACATAGAAATATACTAAGATAAAAAAAACAAAAAACAAATTAGGAAAAATAAAACAAATTCATCGTACTTTGTATTTGGATTTGAAGGGTCAGATGTTACTGATGCATTATCAAATGTCATAAAACATTCATTAGGTAAATAGAATTGACCTAAATATGAAACAAAAATTTTATCTTTTTTTTTTTTTTTCAAATAAAAGAATCCAAAAAATGAACCTTGAATTAATAAACATAAGTTAATTATAATAATAAAATAATAATTCGTTTGTGAATAATGACTAATATCCATCATATTTTATATACTATATTGATACTCCTGTCATTAAAACAAAAATAAAATGGCTCTTCTTTAAATAAATGATCATTTCTTTTCCATTTATTCAAATATTGATTTTATTTCTAATGAAAGATCAATAGTCTTTACTTGTCAAAAAAAAAAAGAAGCAAATAGAGAACATTCATTTTATCAATGACGCATCAGACGATCATCACTCATTTACAATGATTTCTTTTTTTCTTTTGTTCTATTATGAATACAAAAGCAACGAGATTTTCTTGAATCTTCGAAATATTAATGCATTATAATCTAATCATTATATATAGAAAGTCTTTACACAACATGTCTCGTCAATTTTCGTACACTTAAAAGTTAATAGACTGAATTAAACATAATCAGTTGAAATTGAAATTTCACTTTCGTTCCTAATTTATATATTTAGAATTTTCTTCTCATCTAAAGTTAGTTCACTGGAAGCGAACCTTTGACGGAGACCAAAAGTGATTTTCATACAGAGTTTTTTATATAATGTGATGAAAAAAAAGTTGAACAACAAACGTACTTTTGATTTTTTTTTCTGTAATGTTAAGTACTTAGTTCAAATCTAAATAGTTATTTTAATAGTCAATCGAGTTTTCTATCTAATGCATTCTATACCGAGATTTCATAGATGAACTATGATGGCAAGAAATCGACTAGAAAACGTCTTTTTTTCGTTTTTTTGCGATACCATTAACCTTTGAACAAAAAGTCTTAGGAACTGCTGTGACCATTCATTTTGTTCACAACTGTGTTCTCTTTAAAAAGTAGCTTCAACAAAGTCTTCAGGAACCGGAAAAATACCGTGTCCGTTTTTCTAGAAACTTTACCATCATAATTCATCTATGAAATCTCAGTATTACAAGACTTACATAGAAAATCCATTAGATAATAAAATGACTAATCTGGATTTGAGCTAGATGCTTAACATAATAGAAAAAGAAATCAAAAATACATTATTGTTAAGCTGTTCTACCACCTTAGTTCATTTTTGTATTTTGATCAAAATTACTTCAATCCAAACTATAAGAAAATCTTTTTATATAACAATAAAATACCCAATTTCTTCTCTTTTATTTGTGACTATAAACGATCGAAATTCAAAAACAAAAAAAAATAATTTTTTTTTGAAAAATATCGTCCCATGTGAAAAAAGTTTATAGCTTTCGATTTTCTGTTCACTCTAATCAATGATTGGAATTAGAAATTCTCCAGCACACTAGGAAGTCAAAACTATCTTAAAATATCATCTAGAGAAGTTAGAAATTTGTTTAGTGCAAACGAGGTTTTTTATTTACTTAGGTGCATCCAAAAGTAGTAGTGGAGGCACCTTATTTTCGTATAGAAGGCTTGAGAAAATTTTCCTTTTTTTATGAGATGATAGAGACAACGAAGCTTTATTTCAGCCCTATTCAACTGGTACCATAATAATCATATTTCTATAAGAATTGTTTTTATGTAAAATATAACCATTGGATCGTATTTTCATCCATGTACATTTTCTTTTTGGCTGTTTCTTGAGAGTGTGAATATAGAGTTGTTGACTTAGTTCACACCTGCACCCACTCCCAAGAGAAGAACAAAGAAACAATCAAAAGGAAAATGCATATAGATGAAAATATGATCCAATGTTATAGTTATATTTTACACAAAAATAGTTCTTGTCGAAATTTTATTATTATGGTACCAGTTGAATGGGGATGAAATAGAGCTTTGTTTTCTCTATCAAATTATAAAAAAAGAAATTTTTCTTAAAAGAACTCCCCTTTCCTGACTCAAAATTTTCAGTCTTTTCATTTTTAATGTCTAGTATATAGATCTAAATGCCCTCTATCTAATGAGTACATTTTAAGAAAGTTAAACCATCTCTTTGCATATAAGAATTTTACAAAATTAACACCTTTCGAAAAAAAAATTTTTTCATGGTTTTTTGATAGTGCCTTCATTGTTTTGCTTCTCGTGAGCCTCAGGTACGAAATTTTTCAAAAAGAAAAATAAGACACATCCAGATTTGTTCCTAATTGCTACAGAAAAAATCTCAGCCCTAAATAATGTAGTATGAATGTTTGTGAAGGGGAAAACTTCAGGTCATTTTTGACCTTTGACCTCCAAAAATCTTCCGGATGGAAGCATTTGGGAATTTAGAGTCTATAACAATTTTTATTCTACTCATCGAGATCTATCTACCCTAAAAGTTTCAAAAATTTTCGCCGAGCCGTTCTCGAGAAACCTCGGAAACAGATTCCCTTAAGCCTTCTATACGAAAATAAGGTATCTCCCCCCCACTACTTTTAGGTATCCCTAAGTATTTTAAATATTTATAGACAACTAAACAGTCATAAGTCTGAATATTCATTTATACAGAGCATCAAATTCTCATTCTAAACTAACTGCTTTTGATCCTCTTTGACGGGCATCTAAGTGTCCGAAAAATGATCAAAC